GGCAGTAAGAATCTCGACAGAATGACGGTAAGTATGACACAGTCCATGCAGGTCAATGAAATGAATAACTCAGTTCATATGGTCTTTAATGCTGTCTAGAAACAGCGATGATGAAGGTACCGGATGGGAGTCAATACCTTCATGTTTAAGTCCTTCAGCCAGTCCTCATTTTCCACGTTAACTACTCCCTCGTCCACTGATGTTGCGGGCTCACACCCCTGGTCAGACTCACTATGAAGCTCCACTTCCGGGGCGAGGGTCAGCTCTGTCTTCTTCTCCTCGGACTCTGGCTTTGCGGCGTGCGGTAGCTCTCTGTCTGCCGGGGGATCACACGATTTTTCCACGGTTGAAGGTGGTAATATGGGCTCTGGGTCTGTGTCCTGGATTGGGGAAGGACACTCTCCAGACACCGGATGATGGCTTCCTTCCAGTTCAGTCCAGTGCTGTCTGCGAGATCAATGGGATTTTGGTAATTTGCCGCCGATCCAGAACAGTGACTTCAGTGTTTCTTCGTCGTAAGAGCAGATAACGACAAAAACACTCAGTAAATTCCAAAAAGTTGTGGCTCATTTGAGCCACTGCACTCAATAATCCATTGGTGGTCCAGTCACCATTCTGATTGACCAACCAAATGCTGCATCTTGATTCAACATTCAACAAAATTAATTGATGACAGACACGGACTTTTACAGGGTTAAATTAATGTGGGTACTCTGTACTACAAACAGCACTTATTTATTCTATTTCATGTTTCACCACTTTAATATTTTTGTCCAGTATCTTTACTATTGCCTGTTTGATGTTATCTGTTAGCTTGTCAAAAAATTCAACTCTTTTAATTATATTAATATTCTAGTGTTTTCAGTACTTGCCATTAATGTCAATCATAAAACCATTGATTAAAGGGATAGTTCACCAAAAAATGAAAATTAGCCCATGATTTACTCACCCTGAAGCCATCCTATGTGTATATGACATCCTTGCCACGGCAGACGGCTGTACGCAAGTCGACTTACGCCAAAAGAGTAACACTTGAAGTTGACCCACAACGTAATGACGGCAATTGACGCCTCTCGCGGTTCAAACAAACAGGGCTGGGCGACTGGGTTCGTCATTACGTTGTGCATTAAGGTCAAGGGTTACTCTTTTGGCGCATGTCGACTTGCGTACGGCCGTCTGCCGGTAGCTAGTTAATTTAGTCGATAAAGTTTTAAATATGAATATTTTTCTTACACAAATGCATCGCTTCACTTCAGAAGGCCTTTATTAACCCCCTGAGACGGATGGAGCTCTTTAATCAGGAGTAGATGTGCTTTGATGGACTTCCAAAGACAGACAGCCAGCCATTCACTCCCATTATCAAGCTTGGAAGAGCCAGGACAATTTTTAATATAACGCCGATCGTATTCGTCTGAAAGAAGAATGTCATATACACATAGGATGGCTTCAGGGTGAGTAAATCATGGGCTAATTTTCATTTTTGGGTGAACTATCCCTTTAAAAAAAATCTCAGTGCTTAACAATGCAAATTAATACAGACTTGATTTGTCAGTAAATAATGCACATCCCTGAGTCAGGGGTTTCTCCTTAGATCGTCTTTGTGAGGTGTCAGATTCACTTTGTAACAGGTCTATGTGAAGGCATTCTAATTACATTATTAATGCAGCTATTCAAAGACACATCCCGCCAGAGTTAATTGCACAAATAAATTCACACACACTTAGACAAAGTACATTGCGATGCCATATTATTTAACATAACCTTCATTTTAACATTCATTTAAACAATACTTTCATTTAAACAACCATTCACTCTATTGATTCCAAGGTAGTTCAAAAACGCTGGTTCAGCACTGAGGGCATACAATATGGGGTCTTATTATAAATAATAGATCAACCCATATGAACATGTGCATCATTTAAAGACTGATGTAAATTACCCATGCTGGCACGGAACTATACACCGAATAATCCATTTTTATCAAGCTAATGGTGCTCCGCTTATAACATTGCTCTTGCTTCTAATGAAGACCAATTACAATTGATGTAATTTCACAGAAGCAGTTATTATCATCTTTTTATCTTTTGACAACACTAACTGCTCTATAAATCAATAAGTCAATAAAATTGCTATTTAATTGCGAAAACTTTACTATTTATTTCATATGATTTGATAACTTGCATGAGCAGTTTATGCCGTAGTGTGTGTGTGCCAGCGCTCTGTTTCTCTCTACAACCACATCATAAATACCCACAATCCTTTGCTAATCCCCAAACCTTCCCCAGAGAGACGTTCTCACAGACAGAAAAATGATCAGAACACTCTCGCAGAATCAAGTGCAAGTAAACCGATAGTTCTGAGAGGTAAGGAGACTCATGGAGTTCAAACGACCTCTCCTGCGGCTTTACTTCAAAGGCTTGTTCTCCAGTGTTGTCCTCAAGGATCTACAAAAACGCTACACTGATATGTGCAGCAAGTGTAGGCAAAAGGGTGACTTGTTGGTCTTGGGATTGACTGAGATTTTAAAGGCCATTATGAACAGATTCCAACAAAAGGAGTTTCAGAAATATTTAAACACTTCGTTTAGTCATTCTTAAAAAAACGCTGTAGTGCTCTCATGGCTCTGTACTGAGAGCACTTGTTTTAAAGCTGTGCAATAGAAATTAACTTTTTATAACAATGTAGTGATAATCAGATAGGTAATCGAGCCAGCTCTGGTATGTGGAGTAAATTAACTAGATTCTAATTTACTTAAGTTCCCCTCCCTTCTTCCATTCGTGAAACCAGAAGGAGTAGCGTTTTGAATTGATTAGATCATTGACTCTGATTCACACATGCAGCGTTTTCCTCTAATGAGTAAAGAAAGGAATGCCCTGTTTACGACTTGTGACCAAAAGGACATGTGACATCTCACGAGTCCGGCCGAAGACCACGCGACCCCTCAGGGTATCCTTGATTTGATCACCTTACAAACAGAGCCTTGTGCAATGAGTAAGTCAATTCACAATGCTGCCTGAATGCTGACGGACAATTGCCCATTCCACACACACACAGACACCACGGATGGACAGATGCACGCCACACATACAGATGCACGAACACAGACGTCTTTGTGCATAATTTAGGATAAGAATGTCCTATAATGTATATAACACAGAATTGTATCCAACCTTCCTGTATGCATGCATATCTAATTAGTCTTGTCTTATTCTATAGATGTAATCTTAACTGTTCTGTAACTTCGAACCTTAAAGTTTATTTCTAAAGAAAGATTCTATAACTCTCCCTCTTGCTAGGTCATAAAACTTTATAACTCCCAAAAGGAATTCCAAGGGAAATCGCAGCTCCCACTTGAATTCTGATGAAGAAAGAGGAATAGCCTCTGCAATCTTATATTGTCTATAAGTATAACCACTTAAGAAATGCATAAACATGAGTTTGATATTTCCTAGGTCACGGTAGCCGGTATTATGGCTTTATAGTCGTGTGAAGGAACATTAAATGCTTATAAAATGCATATCTTATGTAACTCTGTATTCCGATAATCTTCATGTGACGTGTCTGATATGTCTGTAATTCGCTCAATCTAACGGAGCCGAATTCCGATAGCAGAATGAAGTAAGGTGCATTATTTTACACATTTCATATTTCAGGAGCCGAACGCTCAAATACAATCTCCTCACGAGTCAGTCATGTGGGAATCCCCCCCACAGGACAAAGAGATCTGTGTCCGCTCCAAATCCGCGGACGGTCATGTGTGATTCGCGCAAACAGAGGCGTGAACCTAAGTGTCCTTAAAGAGACGCGCCGAGCTTCCCTTGGACCCTTCTGAAATGCTTCTGAAAACTTCCTGAAAACTCTCTGCCTAAACTCCCTGGCTCTTCCTGCTCTTCGTGGCTTCATCATGTGACTCCTCGTGCGTCTGGACATCGCCTTAGTGTGATGATCCATCGTTTCTCTTTTTGTTTTCTTCAAGTTTATTTTATCTTTTTCGAAGGCTCCTCTGTTCATGTCTTCTCGCGAAGAAAAAGACTGGCAAGCTTCACCTACAAGGACATTCAAACACGCCGCGCTCGCTGGACGAACCCGAACGCTCGGCAGCCACATGACAGAGATACACACACACGCAAGACACAGTTTTCCTCAGCAACACCAGGAGAACCAAAGACCTTTAGGCCTTCATTCAAACTAACGCGCTTTGCCCGCTCTGAAAGACCACGTGAACGCATGACGCGAGGACAGAGACACGCACCCTTCTTCACATCAACCACAAAGAGCTTTACCTGTGCAAGTAACCGTTTACCATTCTTTCAAGGTTTAAGATCTGTTGAGTCTTGTTCTAATTCAAAAGGTTCTGTGTCTGTGATGAATTTTGCCAAACTCGAAGATCTCTCATCTTCTTTCTCTCTCTCTCTCTCACTCCTGTTTGTTGTTTGTCTGTCTCATTAGTTTTACTGTTTACTGTACATACATGTATCCCGTGTTTAAATGTAGAATTCTGTATCCGTAGTTTCATTTTATTAAAACCATTATATTCTTGATTGTTTTTGAATGCTCATACTTTACAAGTCAATGAAATGCGATCCTATAGCTACAAAAGCTTTACAAGTTGTTACCATATCAGTAACGTAAATTTTATAAACACGAGAAAATTAATGTTCACGGCCGGAACATTGAGACTTCTTGGAGTTTATAAAAAGGGACAACCTTGTTGAGGTTGGTAAGTTAATCTTACGGCTGTTTGCTGGACAAACCGATTGTTTGATAAACTAAATTGATTCCCTTAAAGTTATCTCATATAATCGATCTGTAATGAGACCATTGATATATGAATGAGGAATTATAATTCGTTATGATTTACCATTCATATATACAATCGATCTATTTTCAATTTCGATAATTTAACTGTAATATGCAATATATTAATCATATTCATGATTAATTATTAAAATTCCCTATGCATAATTTGAGCTAATTAAGGCACATCTCAATGTGGCTACAACAATGACCATTCAGCCTCCTGAAATACATGATGTATTTTACTGTGCTTTTAATCTTGAGAATGAAACTAGACACCAAGTCAAAGTATGATTATTACACTGAACATAATATTGCACGCCACAAATGAACTGCTATGAGGAATTTGTCTTGCTGTCAATATGCCACATTTTAGACATTCAAGCAGTTGAAAGTGCTAGAAAGGAGAAAATCAGTTATTACATCCATCCATCTTTCTTTAAAAAGTGAACAGCATCCTGGTATCCCTCTTGATCCAGTGCCTTGAGCCTGGTTAATGAGGGAGGAAACAGGGCCTGGTTCAGCCGTATGATGTTGTCCTTGGAGAACTAAGGGTGGAAAACGATTAAAATGTCAAAACTTGTCAGGTTATGACATAACAGTTTGGAAGGAGATTTACATTTTAAATGTTTAGAGTTAAGTAGTACTGCTCAACTATGTCTATGGCTTATTAATGCTAAAAACTTACCACAACTCTCATGTTGGCCAATCTGAGGTGAAGCTTACTTATGCCCTTATGTGCTGGGGAAATATCCTGGGGGCCACTAAATGGTGACACTGTTATTGTGCGTCCCACAGGGAGAACAGGAAGACTGTCTGTGAATCCGCCATCCATCCATTTCTGAGGAAATCAACATTCTTAAATAACATACACTCTTATAATCAGTAAGGCTGCATTTATGTAATAAAATAATAATAATAATATTAATAATATAATAATAATAATAATAATAATAATATTGTGCAATATTATACAAATTTAAAATAACTTTATTTTAATACATTTTAAATTGTTATTTACTCTTGTGATGGCAAAGCTGAATTTTCAACATCATTACTCCAGTCTTTAACACATGTTAAAATTTTTCACTTTGTTTAAATTGTACTAAATTAACATGTTAAATCGACAGCATTACAAAACATCAATATACAATTTCTGTATGCCACTTCAAAGAAATGAATTTCTAGTGCAAGTCTTCATTATGTTATTATACAGTAATACTTGATGAACTTGATGCTTTCCTATGACACACTTGAACTTCACCAATGCAACCTCATAATTGCTTTGGCTCAAAATACCACCACAATTGGCTGCTAATGTAGTTTTATCAGACCTCTGTCAGTGTAGGGGGCAAGCAGAACCAAAGAGTTGGTTTGCTCATTCATCTAAATGAAAACTAAACATCAGCTCTCGGCAGAGTCACAGACAGTACTGGAGCCAAGAGAGCTGGTCGTATAAGACACCATTACCTGCCCTTGGAACTCCACTGGCTTCACTCCAGCATAGACAGGCACAAAGCAGCTGGCCAAGAGCACCTTAAAAACAATACAGTCACAATACATAATTTACACTTAGAACCATCTATTGCTCTGTCCACTGTATTGATTTATAATATTTATAGTGCCCGTGATAAAGACATTTTTTTAGTTTTACATGCGTGGGAACTTGCCGTGTAATCACTGCATTAAAAAAACAAATCAAAAACAAACAGATTTATCTTACACCTTGTATACAGGTACATATCTTATTACTACCAAAAAAAGTTTTATATACACTACCGTACAAAAGATTTAAAAAAAGTTTTAGAAAGCCTCTTATTCTCAGCAAATCTGGATTTATTTGATCCAAAATAAAGTTAAAAAAGTATTTTTTAGGCCTATTATAAACGGCTGTGGAGCTTAATAGTTTTGTGAAAACCATGATCTTTCCCCCCCCCCAGATTTCATTGAATAGTTCAAATTTTCCAGCATTTATTTGAAATAGTTTTTTTTAACAAAGTTAGTCTTTATTGTTGCTTATGATATATATATATATATATATATATATATATATATATACACACTCACCTAAAGGATTATTAGGAACACCATACTAATACTGTGTTTGACCCCCTTTCGCCTTCAGAACTGTCTTAATTCTACGTGGCATTGATTCAACAAGGTGCCGAAAGCATTCTTTAGAAATGTTGGCCCATATTGATAGGATAGCATCTTGCAGTTGATGGAGATTTGTGGGATGCACATCCAGGGCACGAAGCTCCCGTTCCACCACATCCCAAAGATGCTCTATTGGGTTGAGATCTGGTGACTGTGGGGGTCATTTTAGTACAGTGAACTCATTGTCATGTTCAAGAAACCAATTTGAAATGATTCGAGCTTTGTGACATGGTGCATTATCCTGTTGGAAGTAGCCATCAGAGGATGGGTACATGGTGGCCATAAAGGGATGGACATGGTCAGAAACAATGCTCAGGTAGGCCGTGGCATTTAAACAATGCCCAATTGGCACTAAGGGGCCTAAAGTGTGCCAAGAAAACATCCTGCACACCATTAGACCACCACCACCAGCCTGCACAGTGGTAACAAGGCATGATGGATCCATGTTCTCATTCTGTTTACGCCAAATTCTGACTCTACCATCTGAATGTCTCAACAGAAATCGAGACTCATCAGACCAGGCAACATTTTTCCAGTCTTCAACTGTCCAATTTTGGTGAGCTCTTGCAAATTGTAGCCTCTTTTTCCTATTTGTAGTGGAGATGAGTGGTACCCGGTGGGGTCTTCTGCTGTTGTAGCCCATCCGCCTCAAGGTTGTGTGTGTTGTGGCTTCACAAATGCTTTGCTGCATACCTTGGTTGTAACGAGTGGTTATTTCAGTCAAAGTTGCTCTTCTATCAGCTTGAATCAGTCGGCCCATTCTCCTCTGACCTCTAGCATCAACAAGGCATTTTCGCCCACAGGACTGCCGCATACTGGATGTTTTTCCCTTTTCACACCATTCTTTGTAAACCCTAGAAATGGTTGTGCGTGAAAATCCCAGTAACTGAGAAGATTGTGAAATACTCAAGACCGGCCCGTCTGGCACCAACAACCATGCCACGCTCAAAATTGCTTAAAACACCTTTCTTTCCCATTCTGACATTCAGTTTGGAGTTCAGGAGATTGTCTTGACCAGGACCACACCCCTAAATACATTGAAGCAACTGCCATGTGATTGGTTGATTAGATAATTGCATTAATGAGAAATTGAACAGGTGTTCCTAATAATCCTTTAAGTGAGTGTGTGTATATATATATATATATATATATATATATATATATATTGCATGCTTGCTGAATAAAAGTATTAATTTCTTTATTTCCTTAAATAATTATTTCTTTCATAATTTGTATTTAATCATTTATTTTCTTTTATCATACTGACTCCAAAAGTTTGATATATATTCTATATAACTTATATATATATATATATATATATATATATATATATACACACTCACCGGCCACTTTATTAGGTACCCCATGCTAGTAACGGGTTGGACCCCCTTTTGCCTTCAGAACTGCCTCAATTCTTCGTGGCATAGATTCAACAAGGTGCTGGAAGCATTCCTCAGGGAGTTTGGTCCATATTGACATGATGGCATCACACAGTTGCCGCAGATTTGTCGGCTGCACATCCATGATGCGAATCTCCCGTTCCACCACATCCCAAAGATGCTCTATTGGGTTGAGATCTGGTGACTGTGGAGGCCATTTTAGTACAGTGAACTCATTGTCATGTTCAAGAAACCAATTTAAAATGATTAGAGCTTTGTGACATGGTGGAAGTAGCCATCAGAGGATGGGTACATGGTGGCCATAAAGGGATGGACATGGTCAGAAACAATGCTCAGGTAGGCCGTGGCATTTAAACGATGCCCAATTGGCACTAAGGGGCCTAAAGTGTGCCAGGAAAACATCCCCCACACCATTACACCACCACCACCAGCCTGCACAGTGGTAACAAGGCATGATGGTTCCATGTTCTCATTCTGTTTACGCCAAATTCTGACTCTAACATCTGAATGTCTCAACAGAAATCGAGACTCATCAGACCAGGCAACATTTTTCCAGTCTTCAACTGTTCAATTTTGGTGAGCTCTTGCAAATTGTAGCCTCTTTTTCCTATTTGTAGTGGAGATGAGTGGTACCCGGTGGAGTCTTCTGCTGTTGTAGCCCATCCGCCTCAAGGTTGTGCGTGTTGTGGCTTCACAAATGCTTTGCTGCATACCTCGGTTGTAACGAGTGGTTATTTCAGTCACTGTTGCCCTTCTATCAGCTCGAACCAGTCTGGCCATTCTCCTCTGACCTCTGGCATCAACAAGGCATTTCCGCCCACAGAACTGCCGCTCACTGGATGTTTTTTCTTTTTCGGACCATTCTCTGTAAACCCTAGAGATGGTTGTGCGTGAAAATCCCAGTAGATTTGCAGTTTCTGAAATACTCAGACCAGCCCTTCTGGCACCAACAATCATGCCACGTTCAAAGTCACTCAAATCAACTTTCTTCCCCATACTGATGCTCGGTTTGAACTGCAGGAGATTGTCTTGACCATGTCTACATGCCTAAATGCACTGAGTTGCCGCCATGTGATTGGCTGCTTAGAAATTAAGTGTTAACGAGCAGTTGGACAGGTGTACCTAATAAAGTGGCCGGTGAGTGTATGTATATATATATATATATATATATATATATATATATATATATATATATATATATATATATATATATATATATATATATATATATATTCAAATAACTAATCTAAAACTAATAATGCTTCAATATATCACCCTGACATTTTTGACTGCGCCCTAAAAATATCAAAATGTATGAGGGGCAGTACAAGCCAAAATCCATTCTTCTACTCTCACACTCATACATTCTCCTTTCACATACATACATTTCTACTCTCACACTCATACATTCTTTTCACATACATACATTTCTACTCTCACACACACCTACATTCACCTTTCACATACATACATACATACATACATTTCTACTGTCACACACTTATAAACCTTTATTTAACCAGGAAAGAAGACTCACTGAGATTAAAATCTACGGGAGTGTCCTGGCCAAGATAGGCAGCTGAGTTTACATTGACAGTTTTTACATTAGTTACGACACACAAACAAAAATAAAAAACATCGTTATGTAATAACATGTTTATCTCGATGTTACGAGATAAACATACTCTGACGATTGCTTAATATAAAAAATATATTGACTACAAGACACCTAATTTTTTAATCTCATCAGTCTGGAGAAGATTCCAATCTGAGGCAGCGCCATATTTAAAAGAGGTTTTTCATTATCATTATGTTAGATGGACTACTGAAGCACCAGCGCAATTTGTTCACAATTTCAGATGGGAATGGGAATCACTCGGGTAGTTGAAAGATAAATCATTGTCCATTGACCTCAAGCATGAATACCTTAATTAGATCTTCCCTTGAGGTGAAGCTGGACACCATGTTGTTCTTGTATGTCTTTGAGTGTGTTATTGAAACATGGAGGCGTTCATTGGCTAACTGATGGGCATTGGGTGGGAGAATCTCTTCGATGCCCTCCCTAGAGGAAAACCAAAGGACAGATGCTCATTTGTTGTGTTTGCATAATTAACAACCTCAGTGAAATCCATTTTTCCCTCAACATCATATAGTAATTACACAATCTGTTGGCTGAACCACAGAGGTAACGCAGGAGAAATAAGGAAAGAAAAATCCACTCAACGTTTCCATTCTAAGGATATTTCATCAAAATGAAGCCTGCTATCCGCTCCAAGCAGTATGTCAAGATTATAAGAAGCCCTCAGAGGTTTGTGCACATCACATATATTATTCCCTTCAACAGAAAGAGAGAAAAAAAAGTCTACCGTTTCATATGCCAGCAGTATCTGGGATTTCACAAGTAGGACTGAGGAGGTGACACATTTCTGCATCGGAACGGCACTATCTACAGACCATTCAAACCTCATTCTACTGGAGCCAGGAACAGTTCTTTTTCTGAAGATCTCCACAGCTGTGTGAGGCTAAATATATATATATATATATATATATTCATTTACGTGAGAAACGAATGTGTTTCTGGAAATGTGTTTGTGTCTTGTTGTGGAAATTTTAATAGTCATTGATCCCTAACAGATATCATAAGAGAGAGAACCTATTCAATGTGTAAAATATAGATGATTCAAAGAATGTCACATGTGTGTCTCTCACTTGTAGTGAGAGAAGATTCTGTTTATGTACCTGGGGAAGCAGAAGGGGGAGACACTCCAGAGAGCAGACGAACAGGGACCTCTGACCTAGATGTCGGAAGGCCATTTGGTGCAGGGGGGCTTAGTCTATGGAAAACTACTGGGAGGAAGGCTCTGGGGGAAAGAAGGCCTTGAAACTTAGATAAAAGCTGGTTCAGTCTGTCTGGGGGTGTGTCACTCTTCTGCACAGGGTAACAACTGTGTATTAGACTGCTCCTATTCTTGCAAGAATAAATACTTCTATTTTATATAATTTGACTCTGAGTGTCTCTTACGCAGTGATGTTTGTTTGAGATGAATTTTTGCCACAACAGTTTTGGTGTCAGAAGTGATATTCCTTGGACGTGCCTCCTGGACCTGAGATCGGACGGTGTTTGGCCACCTGGACTAAGTAAGTTCCAGCTCTACCTCGTAAACTTGAGAGAGAGGGGCCGACCGATATCAGGGCCGGGAGAATCGACCACTGGAACCTAAAGAACCCGCAGGTGGCAACAGAAGCATCTCTGGTAAGAGACAGTTCAATTTATTTTCTTTTGGGTAAGTTAATTAAATTCAGTTTAATTGGGGAAAGAGTGAAATTGAACCATATTGGCTGAGGGCTGTTTCTGTGGTACGTAATCTGAGATTAATTGAGATCTATATATAGATCAAGAGGTTTCAAACAGATACGAGAGAAAATATCTGAGATTAATTGAGGTCTGTGACAGAACAAGAAATTTCAAGCAGATAAATAATCTGGGATTAAGTGAGAACTGTAACAGATCAAGAGATTTCAAACAGATAGGTACCCTGAAAATTAGTTGTTCCACCACGGAGCAAATTGTTTTTAGGTGCTGAGGCTAATTAGGGGGAACCAGAAAAGATTTTTTGGTAAACCATAATTAGGAGGGCACTAATAGTGCAACCCGACCGATTTGGGTTAAAAGAAAAATCGGGTCTGGGAGGGACGCCTTTCAGACCAAGAGAACGCGCGTTGAAGAGAAATCCACAGAGAACAGAAAACAGCCAGTATGGGGATGTCTCAAAAGCAAGCTTGCGAAATTTGATACACCGGTTTTCTGTAGAACTAGGAAAGTATGGGGGAAAAAATGTATGTTTTAGATATTGAAAAAACTGAGAAAATACCATGATTTCCCCAGGGAGGGAACACTGAGCACAAATAGACTAAGAGTGTGCGAGAATCAGTGGAACAGGGCAGCGGGACAAAAGGTTGTTGTGGCTGCGTTCAACATGTGTGTAAAAATGTGAACAGATAATGGATGCATGACATGGGATGTCTATAGAACTTAAATTTATATGACAAGGATTGAAGTAGCAAGAAGCAATAAGCCTGTCTGTGTGAAATAGAGGGAACTGAACTGTAAGTGAGACTTGGTGGAAGAGGGAAGTGAAAAAAAAACAAAAGGTTGGTGTGTGAGACATGTGTGTGTGGGGATTGTTCAAACAATCATGTACTGGTTAGATAATGAAGGAACTGGCATGTTTGAGAAAAGAAAGGAGAGGATAATGAAGGAACTGGCATGTAGGGAAAAGAAAGGAGGAAATATAGTAGAGAACTATATGTGATGAAAATAGACATGGTCTGATAGAATTTATGGAAGTTTAAATGATATGAAAAGTTTTAGAATAAAATAAGGCATTGTATGATTGACAGGGATTAACATGATATGAAGAATGTTTTAAGCAGAATGGGGAACAATTCTAGATTTTGATAAAATAATGATAATATTAAGTTGAATCTGCAGACTAACCATGTAATGGAAGGAAAAAGGCTTCAAACCAGTTGTAATGAAAATAATGATGTACAAATTGTTACACTTTATGAAGAGTAACTGAACAGTCCGGGAAAATAAATAAATAGATAAATAAATAGAGAGACAGAAGAGAGCAAATGCTGTAAACAGCTCTGCTCTGAAGATCTCACTTTGAAGAGATTTGCAGATGATGTTTTGTAAAAGATAAGCTGGGATAACAGCAACAGTACTTGTAATTAGTGTTGTTGATGATAATACCAAATTACTAAGGTAAAGACAGAAAACAAATTAGAATATTTTGAGCATTTTCTGTGCTGCTCATGAAATTATGTTCTGCCAATAATAATGATAAAGAGTATGATTTGGCTATTGTGATTGAATCCGCCATTGGTGGATGGTCAAAGGAATACAGAGAACTGCTTATCAGTGGGTCTGTTTACATTCCTGAATGGGACACACTGCTTCAAGAGTGTGCAGTTAGTTGGAGCCGTTTGCAAGCTCACAGTGATCAAACTATAGTCAAGGACAGGTGTCTGATGCTGAAGTTGAGGCTGAAACAAATTCACTAGATGACAGAGAGTTTTAATGGTGGTCATCAGGACAATTTAGTAGGTAACTGTAAATTACCACCGAGAGGGGTTTTAAAAATGTGATAAAATGACAACACATTTCTGGTAATAATATTGGTTTGAAAATAGATCAGTGTTTAAATGACGACAGTGACAATTTTTGGTCTGAGAAATAAGAGATAAAAAACAAGGTCAAAAGATTGATCTTAAAGTGAATCCTTTTGAAGAAAAGATCTATAATAGTAATTTTTATAAGTGAATTGAATACAGGTTGATGCAAAATGAATGACTGCAACAAATGTGAGTTGCAAAATATAGTAAAGGTAACTAGAAGGAGAATTGTGTTTTAATTAAGCATTTTTAAAAGGGTTCAGGTAATATAGAGAGACAGATCTCAAAGATGATTTATAATAACTGCAAAAGAGGCAGTAGCCTTGTAAAAGTTAGTGTGAATCCTGATTGGAGACTGATAAACTCCTAGAAGAGAAAACTTTGAGGTCAGATATTAAGTTATGGTAATTGAGAACTTGACAACTAAAATTGAGATTGAGAAATGTGAAACGTTATTGAGAACTAGAATAATTACCATTATGTAAGAACAAATAAGCAGATGCAGTAGGCTACTGAATTAACAGTTGCTAAATGTAAAATGTGTTGAAAGGCATATGATTAAACAAACCGCTTGAAAAGTTGACCATGAAAGAACTAGAAGCTGATGTTTTGCTTTCAAAAGATAAGTTTGTTATGGGCTGTAATGAAACAGTTCGCTTATCTAAAATCTGATGTGTGCTGTGCCTGAAACTGCCAGTGCAACAGACTCAATCTGAGTGGAAAATTTGTAATGTCTAAATTCCCTGAGGTGGGCAAAAGACAAATATAAATAATATGTTTATTTGAAACCGTATGTAATTTCTGGCAAAGATGCCTTAAGCTGGGATAGAGTTAAAAGATGATAGATAAATGTTTGATGTTAGAAGTATATGAGAGAGCAGTGTACCATCCAATAGAGTCTCAGAGTCTCTCTCATTCAATGAGTCAGCTAAAAGCTGGTATCTGTGATAATGTGTAAAGCACAGTGTTTCAGTTGAAGGATCATAGACACAGAGATGTTTTAAAAATAAAACTGAATGACTTTAAAGAAGTATTTAAAACAATAATACAGATAGAGATGACATTTTGATTAGCTTATTTTAGGACCAGTAACTTCTCTGTCTCATTTAGTCTCCACCATTCAGGACCGATGGCTCCGGCTACAGATGAAGTACACTGAATGTACGGTTGTGATCTAAATTCACTGAGTATAATCCAAGTAGCTAGGTTGCTGCTTTTAAGATAGTTAATGGATTTAAGTGATTAAATACTGTTGTTATTGAACTGTCTCCCCATGTGAACACTATTAGGCAATCCGAATGGCTCTGGTGACTCTTGAACGTGCCTTTCCTAAGCTCTAGAAAACAGCTGAGTTCTGTTGAAGCAAACAGCCTGTGATGGGAAAGAGCGGTCACCAGTGGGCACGAGTGGCTACTCTATGACGGGTAAGACCTTCTATTGGCCTGACAGGAGGCAACCCAAGCCAGAGTGGATCACGTAAAGTCATTGGGCATCTCCTGAATGGAGGTGTGCTATGTGAGACAGGTATGAGGGTTGAGCAGGAGCTGTGAGGCCAGCAGCGTCCTTATGGCGTTAAGGGGAGATGACGCGGTGACGAGTTACGGCATGTCTCCCCAATAAAGCAAAGCTCCTCGATATATACCACTCGCCAGAAGAAACCGCATTAGTTGTATGGCTTGTTTTTTTATTGTGACAAGCGTCTGCAAATATGCCAGGGGAAAACACCCTGATGGAGATTATAGATAAAGGGCGAACAGGAGTGGGCTTTCAAGAGCCAGCTGAGGCCATGAAGTGATTCCCATTAGTTGTTGTGGAGACAGTAATACAATTTTTTTTATGTACTGGTTGCCTTATGGGCAAGGAAAATCATAGTGTTGATTT